CTGTGTCCTAAGAAAGTCATTCCTGCTGCCCTTGAAGGGGGCGCGGGGAGGGCAGGAGGGTGCTGCTTCCCTCCCGCTCTGGCTCACACAGTGCCACGCCTCCTGGACTGTGTCCTAAGAAAGTCATTCCCTTGAAGGGGGCGCGGGGAGGGCCGGAGGGCGCTGCTTCCCTCCCGCTCTGGCTCACACAGTGCCACGCCCTCGTCCAGGGGGAGTTGGGATTTGAACCCAGATCCCCTGACGGGCTCTGAATCCACGGTGTGGTTCTGCCTCTGCAGCAGCACAGGGCCTGGAAGATGGGGGATGGCACAGACGAACTTACAGACGTGAACGTGCGGCCATGATTTTATCTCTAGAACAGAGGCCTGCTGCCCTCTGCAAGGGGTCTCCCAGGTCTTCGGTTCAATTCAACCACAGCGCGCCAATGAACTACCCGGGCTCGCTGTCTCTTGGAGGGGGCAGTAAGGCACAGGTGGACTTCCTGAGGCCTCTGGTGTGCGGCCACTATGTACCTGAGGGAGGGGTCAGGCACCTTCAGTTGCCCCAGCTTGACCGCTTACCAGCTTTGTGGCTCTGGGGAAATTACTGGGCGTCTCCGAGGCTTGGCTTTCTGGTCTGGAACAATTAGTAGAAACCATGTAATCGCTGCTCAATAACTATTCCTTTCCCAGGGGTAATGGTCATGGTGTAATTTATGCCAGTAAAAAGTTGTACACAACTTGATGTCTAACTATAGGGAAATGATGCCATAGAACATGGCAGTTTTAGACCCTGGAACAGTCTAACACCATTAAAAGCAGATTGAAAACTGTGTACAAGATAAAATAGTTAAAAGTTTAAAAAGCTGGGCACAAGAACTGTATCTACTTTGGTTTAAAAAAAATATCCTGAAGGAACTACTCCAATTGTTAGGTGTTCATTTGTGGGGGGAAGGACACGGGGTGACAGGCTTCTCCATCTTTCCTCCACATTTTCTGAATGTTCCACAAGGAGTTTGCTGTGTTCAATGCGGCCATGATTCTATCTCCTCTAGAGCAGAGGCCTGCTGCCCTCTGCAAGGGGTCTCCCAGGTCTTCGGTTCAATTCAACCACAGCGCGCCAATGAACTACCCGGGCTCGCTGTCTCTTGGAGGGGGCAGTAAGGCACAGGTGGACTTCCTGAGGCCTCCGGTGTGCGGCCACTATGTACCTGACGGAGGGGTCAGGCACCTTCAGTTGCCCCAGCTTGACCACTTACCAGCTTTGTGGCTCTGGGGAAATTACTGGGCGTCTCCGAGGCTTGGCTTTCTGGTCTGGAACAATTAGTAGAAACCATGTAATCGCTGCTCAATAACTATTCCTTTCCCAGGGGTAATGGTCATGGTGTAATTTATGCCAGTAAAAAGTTGTACACAACTTGATGTCTAACTATAGGGAAATGATGCCATAGAACATGGCAGTTTTAGACCCTGGAACAGTCTAACACCATTAAAAGCAGATTGAAAACTGCGTAAAGATAAAATAATTAAAAGTTTAAAAAGCTGGGCACAAGAACTGTATCTACTTTGGTTTAAAAAAAAATATCCTGAAGGAACTACTCCAATTGTTAGGTGTTCATTTGTGGGGGGAAGGACACGGGGTGACAGGCTTCTCCATCTTTCCTCCACATTTTCTGAATGTTCCACAAGGAGTTTGCTGTGTTCAGAATGAGACAAAACATTTTTTTAAAATATATATTTTATTGATTTTTTACAGAGAGGAAGGGAGAGGGATAGAGAGTCAGAAACATCGATGGGAGAGAAACATCCATCAGCTGCCTCCTGCACACCTACTACTGGGGATGTGCCTGCAACCAAGGTACATGTCCCCCACCAGAATCGAATGCAGGCTGATGCTCTATCCACTGAGCCAAACCGATTAGGGTAAGACAAAACATTGTTTACAAAGTTAGTTCCCTTTCATTTTATGCCTTTTTGATGAACATTTTAGCAGGAGAGAAAGGACTAGAAGTGGAGGGATCAGAGAAAAGGGAGAGGGGAGAGGAGAGAGCTCAGTCCCACTGGCATTTATTGTACAAGATAAAATAGTTAAAAGTTTAAAAAGCTGGGCACAAGAACTGTATCTACTTTGGTTTAAAAAAAATATCCTGAAGGAACTACTCCAATTGTTAGGTGTTCATTTGTGGGGGGAAGGACACGGGGTGACAGGCTTCTCCATCTTTCCTCCACATTTTCTGAATGTTCCACAAGGAGTTTGCTGTGTTCAGAATGAGACAAAACATTGTTTACAAAGTTAATTCCCTTTCATTTTATGCCTTTTTGATGAACATTTTAGCAGGAGAGAAAGGCCAAACCGATGGGTAAGACAAAACATTGTTTACAAAGTTAATTCCCTTTCATTTTATGCCTTTTTGATGAACATTTTAGCAGGAGAGAAAGGACTAGAAGTGGAGGGATCAGAGAAAAGGGAGAGGGGAGAGGAGAGAGCTCAGTCCCACTGGCATTTATTGAACATTTGCTACGTGCAGACTCTGTGGAAGGTACTGACTGACAGCTGAGAAAGGTCTCATAGAACTAGGCATTGCTGGGCAGACAAGGCAAGAGCATGGCATGTGCAAAGGCCCTGGGGTATGAAACAGCAGGCTTAGAGAACAGCCAGTAGGGCCGATGGGGGAGAGGAGAGAATGTGGCTGGGAGATGAGCAGGCTGGAGAGGAATATCAGAGGTCTTAAAGGGTTCCGATTACATTCTGTGGGTCCTGGAGCTACTGTGGTTTCTTTTCTTTCTTTCTTTCTTTTTTTAGTTGAAATTTTATTGAGATAATTGTAGATGCACATGAAGTTCTAAGAAACAATACAGAGAAACCCTCATAAAGAAAGGGTTCCGATTACATTCTGTGGGTCCTGGAGCTACTGTGGTTTCTTTTCTTTCTTTCTTTTTTTAGTTGAAATTTTATTGAGATAATTGTAGATGCACATGAAGTTCTAAGAAACAATACAGAGAAACCCTCATATACTTTGCCCATCCCCCCGCCCCCGACATTATAAGATTGACATGGGTGCAATCCACTGATCTGCCTCAGATTTCCCCAGTTTTGCTTGTAATGTGCATGTGTGTGTGTATTAAGTTCTACATAACTTTCTCACCTGTGTAGGTTCTTATATCCACCACTGCTGTCAAGGTATCGAACAGTTCCAACCACAGAAACTTTTATAATCAATCACACGGGCCTCCCTCCTACTAGACCACTAGACCAGGGTAGGGAGGAGGGGCCTGAGAAGACCCCATTGCTGCCAGGCAGAGCTCACCGTGGTTGGTGTGGGCGGTGAGTTAGGGTGCCAAGTTTGGGGCTTGCTAGGTTAGCTGTGGCCATGGGCATGTCCAGAAGGCCAAGGGGATTCCAGTGGATTTACAGATCTAAGCTGAGGGGAGAAGTCTGAGCTGAGGCTGTGGTGGAAGTCACCACCTATCACCTCTGGTGCCCTAGGTGTGCTAGGGAGGGAGCGGAGTGAGGGGAGGGCGGAGGAAGGAGCCCGGGGAGGATACAGACAGCGTCTGTGGTCAGTCCACTTTGGGTTCCCTCTGCACAGAGGCTCACAGCCTGGCGCCTTGCTTTAAAGCTATCGGCTTCCCCAAACAACCTCCACCTCCGGTGCCGTGACTGGGACCTTATTGGTCACTGTGGGCGGGTGGGAGCCAGAAGGGGCTACTGTTCCTCCCCAAGCCACGCCCTGTGGGGGAGGGAGGGAGGTCTCAGACTCCAGTTCCTCTCCCTTACCCTCTCATTCTCCAGCCTCCTTGGGCCCAGTGGAAGCGGTGGCCAGTGTCCTGAGCTCCGTCTGAAGATGGCCCCCAGCACCAGCGGGGTGGGTGGGGGGCAGGGTGGGAAAAGGGCTGAACCAGTGGCCACCAGCCATGCCCAGGAGCTGGAGCCAGAAAGCCAGCAACCTCTGTCGCAGGGGCCGCTTCACGCCTCCCAGCTGAGAGGGGCCACTGCGGGCCTTGCCTGTCAGGGCAGTGCCTGTGCTGGAGGTGGGGAGGGAGTCCCGACCAGGTTCCTGGCCCTCCCACCGCTCTGGCTCTGCTGCGCCCAGGCTCGCTGTGCCGTTCCTTCTTCTGGTGGACGCTCCCTTACCTGGTTGAAGTCTCTTCTTGCCCCACGGGGGCTGCATGAGATCTAAATAAAAAACGAACATAAAGCTATCTGCTTCACGCCTGGTGAAGCCTGGCCCTTGTTTAAGAAGCCCTGGGATTCTGCACAGAGGACCCCCCCCCCCCCCCCCCCCCCCCCCCCCCCCAACCTCTCTGCTCCTAGTGTGAGCCGCAAAGCCGGGCCTGGAATGTCCTCTGCACAATATACACCCCCTTAGCTGAGTCCTATTCAGTCCCTGAGTGCAGGGTGGTTAATCCTGGCCCTGCCTTGCAAGGGGGAGGGGGGAGGAGGAGGGAGGAGGGAGGGGAGGGATGTTAGAGGTCACTGAGTCCGAAGCCTTGAATTCACAAAGGAGAGCACGGATCATCAGGGGAGAGAGGTTTGTGGAAGCCAGAGAGGTGATCTGCTGGGAGAAAGGGGCGGCTTGTTTCACGTTAGAATCTGCTTTCCCATCGAGGAGAAACCCAGGAGAGATGGATGACAGTTTCTGAACTCCATTTATCCGTTTTTATTGAGCGTCTACTACGCGCCAGGCAGTGCTGCTCTCTGGACCGGGAGCTGGATTAGCCTCGGACCCTAATGCAGGAAGAGAAGGACGTCAAGGGGTTAAATTCCAGGCGCGTTGAGGGGGTGGGGAGTAGAGGAATCTTCCGGAGGAAAACCCCCTCCCCGCTTCCCAGGCTTCGGAAACCCGGGTGTGAAGAGCCTGGAAGCGGCTGCGCCCGGCGCGCGGTTGCCGGCACGGGGCTGGGGGTGACCGCTCTCCAATTACAACAAAAGGAGCCGGGGCGGGCCCTGCGGTGGCCGCCCTCGGAAGGGGTGGGTCCGGGGAGGGGTTTGCTGCTCTAGCCCCTTAAAAGTCCCGGGGAAAGAGTGAAGGCGCTACTCCAGCTCGCGGCTCCCGGCACTTGGAGCTCGCTCTCTCCAGCCGCCCCTCTGCTCGGGAAAGGGGCTCGGCGGTGACGCGGGTGCAGACGGGGGGCCACGGAGGGAAACGTGGCCCCAGCCAAGCCAGGGCGGACCCCTCCTACCAAGTAAGCGCGCTCCCTGCAACTCCCCGGGAGCGCAGTGGCTCGAGGGCGGGGGAGCGCCCACGCGAGTCCTCAGGCTCCACTCCCCGCGAGGCCAGTCTCTTCGCGTGCTAGGGGTGCCGGGGACCCGGGGGGCGGCACACACAGTGAAGGCTTCTTGCTCGGAGAGATGCGGGACGTGCAGGCTGACGGGTCCCCTTCTCGACTGGGGCGGACCCACCCAGCCCCACCTCGCTGAGCCGGGCCGGGAAGCCGCTGGCGCGCCCTAGGAAGTGGGGCGCTCGGTTCCTAGCTCGCCTGGGGCGCCTACCACCAGGCAGGACAGAGCCAGTGGAAGCTCAATGTGCGATCGGTGCCTAGGAGGGTGCCGCGTGGGGCCAGGGACACGGGGGCTGCGTTCGTGCCCGGAGTTCTGGCTTTGAGGGACGTGGAGCGCGCAGGGGATGGGCGTCGCACTGAGTTGGGGCTTTGGAAATGTGGAGCGCACGGGGCTGAGCGGGGTGGGGGTGGGGGTGGGGGCTACTGGGCCTGAGCCTGGGAGCTCCAGCGCCCACTGCCTGGAATTGGGTTTCTCTTCAGCCTTCCAGTTAGGCTCATCTGAGCGCCCGAGCACCCTGAGTCCTGTGGGAATGGAGGCGCGGTTCGCACCCCAGGTACTTACTCCCAAGTCTCCCTGGCTCGTTCGGGGACCAGGGAGCCTCTCCCGCCGTTTGGACTGAGAGGCCCTGGAGCAGGAAAGAACCAGCACAAAAGAACCAATGGGTCGTGTGTGCAGGATCGCTCCGGGGTAGAGCTATTCCTAGTCTTGCGAGATACTCCTGCAGTCCTCGGTGACTGCAACTTTTACGCAGGCTCTTTGGCCACTGCGCTCCGCCCCCAACCCCTCAAAAATCTGGGAGCCCTGGGAGCCCTGCCTGCCTGAGGTGTCGCTGTAAATCAGCGCCAGAGTAGAAATCATCGGAAGAAACAAGCGTGATTGCGATTCTTTTCTCTCTCTCATCCCCCCACTCCCACCCCAGTAAACATCACCAAATACCAGCGGGGTGGGGGGAGGGACACGGTGCAGCGCATGGCGGGTGGGGGCTGGGGGACTGAACTACTCGTGCTGGAAGCCTCAGAGATGTGCTTTGAAGTCAGAAACATGCCCCAAATTAATTTCAACATCTAAAATCTTGGAACTGCGGAGATCAGTTCAGTCGTTTCTTTCTGCAGAGAGGAAAAGTGCTGAAGGTCGAGGCCACTGGGTTAGTCAGTGTGGGACTCGAACTCATATCCCTTACACCACAGCCGGCCTGTCCGACCGGGAGCCCCAGAGCCCACCTGTCACTCTTGGCGGAATTATTTCGTTTGTTTATGGTGTGTTGTGTACTTCATTTGCCTGGCCAGTTCCCAGATGAATGACTGACTTACTGGCCAGTGCCTTAGCTAAATTATTACTCTCCTTCATCCCTTTGTCCTATTCCCCTTCCTGGTCCCTGGAATGACCATCAAACCCACAGCAAAATGCACCCATGCGCCCTGTGGACCCCTCGGGATTGAGTCTCAGTGGTGTGTGTGTGTGTGTGTGTGTGTAACTTTTTAACACAAATTCAGAGAGAGAGAGAGAGAGAGAGAGAAAGCACATCTGTTTGTCTCTCTGTGACTTTGTGTTAAAAAGTGACTTGGTCAGCCCTGGCTAGTTTGGCTCACTGGATAGAGCGTCGGACTACGGACTGGAGGGTCCCAGGTTCGATTCCGGTCAAGGGCATGTACATTGGTTGCGGGCACATCCCCAGTAGCGGGTGTGCAGGAGGCAGCTGATCGATGTTTCTCTCTCATCAATGTTTCTAGCTCTCTGTCCCTCTCCCTTCCTCTCTGTAAAAAATCAATAAAATGTATTTTTTTTAAAAAATGACTTGGTCTAAGGCCACTTAGCCATTAAGTGGCAAAGCTGAATGAAACTTAGGTCTGCAGACCAAGTATGCACTTGGTGTTTTGATGCCGGGCAGATAGAAAATTCCATGAAGTCACTTCCCTCTATCTCCTGACATCTGGGCTCCTTGCCTGGCCCCTTCCTGCCTGGCCCCAAGTCCCTGTCCTCCGACCACTGGATGGCCAATGTGGAGAGGCCTTGTGAACTAAACAGATTTTCTGTGCTCTATAGATGACCATCAGTGAAGCTTTCTAATGTTCCAGAAAATTCTGCTTTGTTTACTTAAAAGGCATTTTCCTGAAAAATTTAAATATGCACCATAGTAGAGAAAGGCCCTCAGGGTCAGCAGTTAGCAGCATGTTGCCACCCTTGCTTTATCTCTTTTCTCTTTCTTTTTTTACTGAAATATTTTAAAGCAACTCCCAGACATCCAGTCATTGCATCTCTAAAAATATTAAATAATCATTATGCCATTATTGTACCTAGGAAAATTAACAATCATTCTTTGGTATCATCTAATCCCCAGTTCATATTCAAAACGTTCCCCCAAATGCTTTTTTACAGTTGATCTGAGGTCTGTTGATTTTTATAATTTATTCATATTGTATGTTGTTCTTTACTTGAGTCTCACAATGTAAAATGGGTATTTTTTTTAGTTTGCTTTTTAAAAATGTTTTTATTGATTTCAGAGAGGAAGGGAGAGGGAGAGAGACATAGAAACATCATTGATGTGAGAGAATCATTGATTAACTGCATCCTGTACACTCCCCACTGGGGATCAAGCCTGCAACCTGGGCATATGCCCTGACCGGGAATCAAAACATGACCTCCTGGTTCATAGGTTGACGCTCAACCACTGAGCCACACTGGCAGGGCAAGATGGGTATTTTTGAGTTCATTTTATAAGTGAGTAAACTGACAAACAGATAAGCTGTGCAGATGGCACAGCTGCGGTTGGCGGGCCAGGACCTGCCCCGGCCTCCGCACCCCTGGGCACTGGGGAGGGGTGTCAGCTGCTCTCAGAAGCATTCATTTGGCTCTGGCTTCATCCCGGGCTTATCACTTCTCATACACCTGCCATGAGAAATCCCTGTGGGAATGTTTAGTAATTGGCCATTTGGTGCTGGAGATAAACTGGCTGCAAAGTCAGGAAGCCTGGGTTTATTTCCCAGTTCATTATAAAACTGTACAAAAAGCGACTTATGTCTGAGGGCCTCAGAGGTGGCAGAGTATTTCCCCATCCTCTGGCTCCAGGGTTTGAAAATAGGTGGGATGAGTGAAATGGCTGCAGCTGGAATTTCTGGGACAGACAAAGGCAAAGGCCCCGGGAAGAAATCTCATTGCAAACAATTACCCCTCACTGATCATCAACCAGGGACTGGCAGGAGATATTGTTCATCGCCTCCTAAATTCTGAGACAGCAGAGGCTCCCATCCACAGTTCTTCGTTTATGGACAACTTTGTTGAGTCTGCCTTTGTCTGATGAGGATGTAGAACACCAGAATTTTTACTTTTAGCATTTTCATTCACTTTGAGATGGGGTGGTAAAGAAATCATTTTTATATTTTACTAGTGGCACGGTGCACGAACTTTGTGCATGGGGTGGGGGGTTCCTTCAGCCCAGCCTGCACCCTCTCCAATCGGGGACCCCTTGGGGGATGTCCCACTCCCTCCTGAAATCTGGGACCGCTGGCTCCTAACCGCTCACCTGC